CCTTAAGTCCACACTTTTCGAAATCAGCCCACTGTGAACCGGCCCCCTAGCCTACCCCCTAAACGACCCCCGAACCACCCCCAGCCGACCCCTAACCGACTCCCTAACCGACCCCTTAACTAACCTCCTAACCGACCCCCAACTGACCCCTAACCGACCCTCAACCGGCCCCCTAACCGACCCCCTAACACACCCCAAACCCATCCCCTAACCCATATTCGTGATGACACTTTTACTTGATAGTTTCGGTTTTAATTGTTAGTTTCAATTGTTTCTTAGAACAACTAATAAAATTAATCTAATTGCAATTAAAATCAATTCAATCGAAATCAGTTGCAATTGAATAGATTTTTTAATCTGATTGAAATTTAATTGATTAACGTACTTGCTTCGGCAGTACATATACTAAAATTGGAACGATACAGAATTATACGTAATCTAAAAAATGAATACAGCTATGGAATAGACGAGATACCATCCGCGCTTATAAGGGTATGTGCAGACGAATTGACGTTTCCGTTTTATACGCTTGTCAATCAGTCTTTTGCATAGGGTGTTTTCCCGGATCTTCTTAAACAATCCCTGATAAAACCGATCCTCAAAAAAGGAAGTAAGTATGATCTGAGTAATTACAGACCCATTGCATTATTGCCCGCGGCTTCGAAAGTATTTGAGAAGGCAATGTGTAGCCGCCTATACTCTTTCTGTGAAAAGTACAATATATTTGATGAGTCGCAGAATGGTTTTCGGAAAAATCGTTCAACTACACTTGCGACTTACAAATTTATGCAAAAGATTCTGGATACACTAAATGAAAAAAAGTATGGTATCGGTATCCTATTGGACATGTCAAAGGCATACGATAAAGTTCGGTATGATATCTTACTGGATAAACTTTACGGAATGGGTATACGAGGTGACATTCATAAATGGTTCGCATCCTATTTAGAAAACAGGATCCAGTATGTAGAAATCGAGCATTATAACTATGAGACAGGGGAAATAACTCAAGTCAGATCTGAGCCCCAAAACATGAACAATTCGATACCACAAGGAAGCGTCATTGGGTGCATACTATTCCTGGCTTATATAAATGACCTCCCAAAAGTAATAAACGATTCATGTGTTCTTTTCGCTGACGACATCTCAATATTAACCTCTTGTAAAAATAGTGACCACTTAAATCAAACCCTTCACTTCAATACACTAACTACAATTGTAACATGGATGAATGATCACAATTTAGAAATTAACTTCACAAAAACCAAAATTATAGAATTTAGACCCTATCAAAAACCATCACTAAATATTAATTTTTCGTATAACCAAATACAAATAGAAACCGTCAATACATTTAATTTACTCGGAATAGATATCGATACAAATATAAATTGGAAGCACCATGTACAAAAAATCACAAAAAAGCTATCTAGTTTTACTTACGCCTTAAAAGAAATAAAGAAGTCAACAAATTTACAAACTGCCCTAAGTGCTTACTATGCGTACGCTTATGCATGGTTATCATACGGCATCATATTGTGGGGCAATAGTACAACTGTAAATGACCTCTTTATTAAACAAAAAAACTGCGTAAGAATACTAGCAAATATATCAAGAACAGAGAGCTGTGAACCATTCTTTAGAAAATACAAAATCTTAACCCTAACATCAATTTACATCTTGGAAGTTTGCAAATTTATAAAAAAGTACCCACAATTTTACACTAAACTGCGAGACGAACCAAGACACCATCCCACAAGATACGGAAATAATCTTGTAACACCGTTCTCAAAATTGGAAATGCATAGATCGAGCCCATATTCAATGTCGATAAAAATATACAACAAACTACCGGAGCATATAAAGCAAGAAAATAAAACAAGTATTTTCATAAATAACTTAAAAAACATTCTTTCTAATAAAACTTACTATACAGTGCAACAATATCTTGATGATAAATTGCTATAGCGTTGATCTGCCTCATTCCTATTTTGCTGTCCATTATTATCATATTCATATTACAGGATTCATATGTCTTTCATTGTACCTATGTAATAATAATATAACGCACACACTCAACATAGCCCCGCACTAGGGAAACCCTGTGTCGCGGGTGCCATGGACACACACATAGACAACCACAAATTACACCCAAACTCACGAGAGAAATAATTACAGGCCATACAAATATTTCTCCCGGCTCAGGAATCGAACCTGGGACCTCTGCGTGGCAGTCCGGCATGGTAACCGTTCGGCCACGGAGGCAGTTAATGTGAATAAATAAATAAAATGAAGTAGATAACATGTTATATAATGGAGTAAATGCAATGTTATTATGGTCGAATTAAAACTAGTATAACACATAATTGTACAATTAATAATATGTTTATATATATGATAAGAAATATAATAAGAAATTTTGTAATAATAATTATTGCTAAGGCTTGAAATGTAATTAAACCATATTATAAGTTTTTATATTGCTATGCCCTTACAGTATATTACATGTATAGGGTAAACTTGCCTAATTCGTACTTACGCCAAATTCGTACTCCACTTATAACTCGCCTTTGGTAACAGCTATCAGCGCCTCTAGTGTCACAAAATAGAAATAACAGTCGGCCATTTTACCACCTGACAGATAATACCTGTGACGCTGCTCTCGACAAAAATATTGAAAAAGTAAGTTTTTTTTCAACTATTATTGTAATATTTTTACACATTTCGTAAGAGTTTTATTCAAATAAGACCGTGTATAACCTATTTTACGATTCGATACGTATTAACATGTGTCTTTGCGATTTCATATGACTTTTTATCATACTCGTAACTGTTGTCAATTTTTTTGGCGGTAAATTTAAAATTTGTTTGGCCCTTGCTCCTATTTCGTACTCGAGTTAAGTTCTTAAAACGTACTGGTACGATTTAGGAAAACTATTTATGAATCTGAATTTGATAATTTACCATTTCTTAAATTGTTTATTACAAGTTGTTTTATTAGATTTTTGGTTGGAAAAATAACCACATAAAAACATATTAAACATAATTATTTTCTATTTTAGAACACCATGATAAAAAGAAAATATTATTCTTGGAGTAAAGAAGATATGGAAGAAGCGATTAGAAAATATAACAATGGGGACTTAAAATTCAACGAAGTTTGCCATGTATTTAAAATACCGAAACCGACATTTAGACGACATTTAAAAGGCTTGAATACACGTAAAAGAATTGGACGTCCGAGTGATTTAACGGAGGAAATGGAAGCAGAACTAGTCAGACATGTTCTTTTGTTGGAATCTAGATTTTTCGGCTTGACCATTACCGATTTACGGCGCTTAGCTTATCAATTAGCAGAAAAATACGGACTGAAACACAGATTCAATAATGAATCGCAATTAGCTGGTTGGAAATGGTATTACACATTTATGAAGAATCATCCAGAAATATCCTTACGAACCCCAGAACCCACATCTATGGCTCGCTGTAAAGGATTTAACAAAGAAATGGTGATGGCGTTCTTCAACAAATATGAGTCCATCTTAGACGAAGGTCAATTTACAGCCGAAAAAATTTACAATATGGATGAGACAGGATTGAGCACAGTTCATAAGCCTTCAAAAATTTTGGCTCAAAAAGGGAAGCACCAGGTTGGAGCTGTCACTAGCGGTGAACGTGGTGTTAACACAACATGCATTTGTTGTATGAACGCAGCTGGAGAATTTGTGCCTCCCATGCTGATATTTAAACGTAAAAGGATGACAGAGAGCTTGATGCGAGGAGGGCCATCGAATACTTTGTATGATTGTTCAGAAAGCGGTTGGATCGTCAGCATCTTATTTACCAAATGGCTTAAACATTTTATAAAATGTCTAAGACTGCAAAAATCGCAAGAAAATCAAATTCTTCTCATCCTAGATGGTCATTCGACGCACACGAAGAACATTGATGCAATTAATCTTGCTAGGGACTATGGAATAATTATGTTATCTCTTCCGGCCCATACCACACACAAGTTGCAACCATTAGATAGATCATTTTTTAAAACTCTAAAACAGAATTTTAACGCTGCCTGCGTGTCATGGATGCGAAATCATCCTGGATCTGTCATAAAACAAACAAATATTGCAGAAATTTTGAAAGAGGCTTATCTTCGAGCAGTTTGTATGGAAACTGGAATACATGGCTTCGAATGTTGCGGTTTATGGCCTTGCAATCGCTATAAGATCAGGGATGAGGAATATGTCATACTTGAAGAAGATAATCTTAGTCTTCCGGAATCTTCCCGCTCTGAATTGGTTGAAGTCTCCCAAAATTTAACAACTGAAATACAACAAGAACAAACAAGGGCTTTCACGGATGTGCCACAATCTAACGAGATTTCTGTGCAAGAACAGACTGAGGAAGCTATGCCCCCAAATCTTCTTGAGGTATCGAGAATCCACCCTTTGGAACAGCAAGATCAATGTCTAGAAGAGAAAAAGAAAGAATGTTCTTCAGAGACGAAAGTAGAGGATTTTAAAGCACAGTCCGTTAGAACGACCCTCGAAACTATATCTCCATTACGGGCTATTCCTGGAAATTCAAGGCCACCGAAAAGAAAAACTACAGGTGCTATTATTATAACAGAAAGTCCTTATAAAAAAGAGCTAGAGGGTAAAATAGAAGAGTCGAAGAAGAAGAATGTATCGAAGAATCTAAGTGCTATGAAAACTAAAACACAAAAGGAAAATAAGAAAAAGAAACAAGAAAAAGATGAAAATGGCAGTTGGTACTGCACATTGTGTCAAGAAGATCTTAAAGAAACCATGATCCAGTGCACACAATGTGGGATGTGGGTACATGAACTTTGTGCAGGAACTAATAAAAAAACCAAAGATTATAACTGCGATGATTGCCGAGAATTGGCGAAGACCATCCGCCGAATTTTTTAATAACGTTTAATGTTTTAATTTTTGATTGTGATGCTGATTCTCAATGACTAGATCTCAAAGTACGAATTAAGAATATAGCAGTACGATTTGGGATGAATGGTCTTAAATCGTACTTTTTTAGTTTTTTTTTTTATTGTTTATTTCTGAGAAGTTTATAAGGTTTATGTTAAATTTGATTATAGAAACAATAAAGTATTTAACAAACAAAAATTACTTTTATTTAAAACTAACTTATCATTCCTAGTTTTCTAAATGTGATGGTTTTCTCTTAACGGGTACGAATTAGGCAAGTTTACCTTACGTAATATAGTGTAAAATTTGTATTATTTATATTATGTAAACTGCAATAAATATATTATCATTATCAATGCCCAACACTGATATAAATCTATGTACGTCACAAAATAGGCTGTACATTGAAAAGAAAAAAGTATTTTGTTGAAATGTATTTTGCAACGAAAGTATTTGAAATACAAATTACAAAATACATTACGGTCAGGTATTTGAAATACCAATTACAAAATACATTTTTAGGGAGTAATTGAAATACAAATACAAAATACGTATTTGTATTTTAAATACGTATTTCAAATACAAGTAATTCAAATACTGCCCAGCCCTGGGCGTAGCCAGTAATGAATACGGACACTAAATGGAACGCAAGCGCGCCACCTAGCTGTGTGGTCCGCAAAACAACGTTTTCCGCGCTTCAACAGAATCGTGACATTGTTGGCAAGCACGATCGACTCGCCATGCAGTGTAGGCGTCGTCACGGAACTGTACTACGTTTCGCACGTATATACGTTCGGCTGTACGTATGTTTTTCAATTTCTCAATTATGGACCGATATTGAAAATTCTTTTTTTGATTGGAAGAATGCACTCTGATGGTGATCCCAATATCACCAAGTCAGAATGTGATGAGTAATAAATAAGCAGTAACTATATAACAACAACCTATAACCGTTTTGATAATTGTTTTAGTATTATAACCGGTTAATGCTTTGTCAACAGCAAGCTTTCTAAAAAGAATTCTAACATTGAAGAGTATGGACGCAGAAGACGACTGTCAAGAAAATCCGCTTTATTTTTTACTTGCCTTAATATAGTGTTAACATAAATTACTGTAAAGCTTAGAGTTCGGTACACATCAGTGTTACATTATACTGAAAAAGTAAAAAGGCCCTACAATTTAAACAAAGCAAAGTCACCCTTAGAATTATTGCTCTTACAAAAAAATTAGGAACCACAGTATGCTATTTTCAGTAAAAGTGTTCGACCAGGTAAGTACTGTCTATTTTTTCTGGAGCTAAGCAGTATTGTGATAATTATAAGGTTTCTGTTAAAACTACAGGAATATAGAACTTGTCGACTGTTTGTCTCAGGTTGACGGGCGCAGTGATAATGCCCCACAGACCTTCACGATTTAAAGCTCTGAGTAGCACTACAACTGTTACGTGTAGGCGAGTTGTTTACCACCAGACGCATGACTTGATCCGTCCCTTCTTTGGATACTCAAAGATAAATACTCTTTTACAAACACGTGTCTACAGTCGTACCCGTGCAAGAATGTGAGTTTCACCAAACTATTCTCTACTTACAGACATTCCGTAGCGCTCTTGTAAACTGCCCTAACAATGCTCTCCTACAGAACAAAGATTAAATGAACCTAGTGGATTTTTCTTCTCAAAGTACTATCTGTCTCTGAATCCCAGCGCAATATGCCTTCTAGGTTTATAGTTAAAAATACAAGAGCATCTGCAAGGCGCAGTTTTACTATTTTAATATTTATTTTAACTGCCTCTGTGGCCGAGCGATTACCATGCTGGACTGCCACGCAAGAGGTCCGGGATTGGATTCCCGTGCCAGGAGAAATATTTGCATGGCCTACATTAATTTCTCTAGTGAGTGTGGGTGTTATTTGTGGTTGTCTACGTGTGTGTCCATGGCACCCGCGATACAGGGTTTAGCACGGAGCTGTGAGTGTGTGCTATATTAATGCTATGTTTCTTACTAGGTAACCTGAGGATATTTATAGAGAAATAAATCATGCGTATGTGCATTTTTATAATTATCCTCTCCGATATAATTAATATAATTTTTCCCGTACTAATAAGGTTCATTTTCCTTAGGTCGAGCGGCAGGGACACGGGTTTATTTCAGAATTAATTTTTTTATAAACGAAATTAAAACCATTTGAAAAATGCATATCGTCTAGGACACGTGTTCTGTTTACTTCAGTTGATATTAAAAAAATCATTGGTATATCTAAAGTACATATTGAATTCAGCGGTTTTCTTGTAAAATTTCGACGTAAGTTTGTGTTTTTTTCTATCATGAAATTTTTAACCGACTTCAAAAAAAGAGGAGGTTCTCAATTCGGCTGCATTTTTGCTTCGGTATTTGTGAACCGATTTTGATGATTATTTTTTTGTTGGAAAGAGGGTGCCATTTAATTTTAAAGAAAATCATCCACCTTAGGGTAGCTGTTCACGCATGAAGATTCATTTTTGTAAAAAGCGTTTAAATTTTATTATAAAGACCAATATTTTAATAGTTGATTTTGCTATTCTCTAATTCAAGGCGTTTTTCTCTCTCAATATACTTTGAGTAGTGAGAACCGATTTTTATTATCTCCTGTGTCAAGTTCCGTATAGTGGCGAACTAGGGGATGAATCCGGGTTTGCGCACTTTCCGATAACCGATTTCAATAAAACTTGGCAAATAGGTGTAATTCCACGTACTTTTGAGGTCGGTTTTTTTAATACTCTGTACTGAGATTATTTAGGCATCATGTTTTCATTCCATATAGTAATGAGGTATATCTTCAATGTTACTATATATTTTTTCCAACTCTTAAGAACCACAAACTGGTTCAAATCATGACGAGCAAAAATTGGAATTAAATAATACGTGAGTTATCCGTTACTTTAGTTAGCTGATTGGAGTAATATTTCAAAGAGTCTTCGACACTGTTATCTAACCAGACAAGTGTCCACTCTACGCTAAAACCATAGCTATATCTGCTCCATCCCGTTAAGACCATACATAAATCTCCGTCCAATAAGGCAAGACGGATCGGTGCACCAATCGCTTTACTCGCAGCTTGAATTTAGCATATTGGAAAACTTAGATAGGTTAAGTACACATTTGAGTATCTGGAGACAAATAGCGAGTCTTTAGGTATATTTTTAGAAAAGAATGTTATTTTCAAACCTCGTTAAAATAAAGACGCATGTGATCATACGTCAAACGCTTTTGTCACAATGGAACTTTAAAAAATAATACGAATTAACGTACAATACATTATGCATATGTGAAAGAAAGTTGCCAAGACCTGAAGGACAATTTGACACCTAACAAGTCCCATGTGCCTGTAATTTCGCCGGCACCTTACCATTCAAAACCTGCTTACATTACTTGTTTGCGACAGAAATAGATAAGATGGCAGTTCTTCTTTGGACGAACTCTTTTACAAGGAGAGCCGGGCGTCGTAATACATATAAATTAGAAGTACATGGCACTTAGTGCATTGAAACGGCGCGCGGTGATGAAACGCTTGCACATAGGACTAGGTACCAGGAGACGAAGTGGGGAGGCGTGTTGCGGTGTGTACACCGCATTGCTCATGTGACACTGACACAACGTACAGGCAGCGCCCATTTGGCATCGCCCTTAAGGGCCTAAGACATTGATTTGATAACTAAATTGTGTTTATAAAACCAAATGAGTCAACAAGGCCAGGCTGAAAATTAGGACCGATTGGCATATAGCCACAAAGTTGTTGTTCAGTTATTATTGTTAGATACAGTATATTTCTATTGTTATGTGTGGTAAATAAATGGTTTAAACGGTTTCATGGAATTCTAATGAACCGGGATCCGAATGAAACCTATTTGTGTTTGTCTATTTTCATATAATATATTTACGCATGAAAACCATTTTATGGCGAACAATTATATTCTTAATCTTCTCTATGGCATCTTATTCATTCCTCACACACCACCTTATCTTAAGGAGCGATTTGAATTCGCCCATCAATACAACCCCCGACTTCTGCGCTCTTCTTCAACTCTCCAACTTAAGATGCCATTGCATACCTCCCAGTATTACGACAAGTCCTTTACTGTTCAGGCTATTCGTTTGTGGAACGCTTTACCTTTGTCTATTCAACAAGCGAAATCATTGAATATATTCAAAAATATGGTAAAAGTACCTTAATTTAGTGTGACCTGGACTGCTTAGGTATTTTTATGTTTTGAAATTACGTTTTAGAAATTTTTATATTTATAAGTATAAGAATATATAGTAGTTTACGATATTCATATATATGTATTGGTTTTATTATTTATTTATAAATATATGTATATTTGCATTTATTTATCAATTTTTATCTGTTGATTAGTAATTCTTCATACACCACCGTCTTTTTCCTGTGAATTATATCATTACTTCCATCCAAAGGTTGTCTGGCAGAAATCGCTTAAAGCGATAAGACCGCCCATTGTACCACCGCTTATTTTTAATTTAATTGTATTGTATTTGTTTCCTTTTTTGGTGTACAATAAAGAATTTTTGTATTGTATTGTATTGTATTGTATACTTCGAAAAGGCAGACTGACAGGAAAATTTAACACAACTACATTAATAAGTATTTTTTTATAAAACTGAGTGTCACGCCTTTCTTCCCTGAAGAATCGAATTGTTGTAAATCACCCGACAACTTTGCAATTGTCGTAAACAACTTCTTAGCCGATTATATGAAATACTTAACAATGATTCAACGCCATGTAGCGGCATCTACCTAAACTACACAGAGCATAGTAGAGAGAGTAGTAGATTTAGTAGCAGTAGAGCACCTTACGAAAGAAATCGTACAAGAAGTACTGCCACCTTACCTATTTATGCTGCCAAGCAGTATTGTGAGCGTTACTACGTTCCGGTTTGAAAGGGTAAGGTGAAATTACAGGCACGCTTTCTTATTTGAATCGCCGAGTGGCG